GGCTCCAGAGCAGAGGGGCTCCAGCCCTGGAGCATCTCCATGGCCTCCTCTGGACTCCCTTTCAGCTTCCAGCAATAAAAACCTGGGATGGGATGCAGGGACAGCCCTGCTGCTCTTCCAGAGCAGGGAGCCACCTCAGCGCCCTGACAGCCTGGAACCTGTGCCCAGGACATCCCAAATCCCTGGTTATCCCAGCAACAGGGCTCACTGCAGCTCCCTGGTCATTCCAGGGAACGTGACAGCATGTGACAGCCCAGAGCAGGAGTTCACTGGTTGCCAGTAAATCCTGATCTCCCCAGGCTGATCCGTGTCTTGGGAAGGGAACAAAGGCAGGAGCTTCATCCAGCCCAGCCCTGCACACTCATTCCTGCCTGCCAGGGGGGACAGGCTGGCACCCAAATCCAGGGAGAGGAGAGAGGAGCAGGAACTCAAAGGGCAAGCTCCTGGGAAAGGGCTCACCTGGAAAACACAGGGGCAGCTGGAGGTTAGTGGGGAAAGAAAACTCCCAGTTCCAGCTGGGAATGAAGCATTTGAGGGCCAAGCTGGCACAATTAAGGGAAATTAAAGCAGACTATAAAGAATTAACACTGGGGTGTGTAACTGGAGCCATGGGGAATCACACACCTGCTCCCTGTTGGAGTGAGGGAATTCCAAGCCAGGCAGGGTTCAAGCCCACACTCCAAGCACATCCCCGGCCCTGTGGATAAACCCCAGGGCTGGCACAGGCACCAGAGGGGAAGATAAACACCCAGTCATGGAAGAGAAGAACCAGAGGCTGAGGATACAAACCCCAGCAGCTGAAGAGCCTTGTGCTGATCCCAGATCTCTCCCCTCCTTCCAGCAGTGAAGTGATGGTGATCCCGTCCCGCAGGCAACGTGGATCCCACAGCTCCCATCCCTGTGCTCATCCCACCTCTCCACAAAGCCCCAGGGGCTCCCACCAGCCCCACACACATTCCCTGTAAGACATTTTTCCTAAGTCTGGCCTAACTTGAGCCAGTCTCAGCTCAAACTCGGCCCTGCAGCAACGCAGGGCTGTGACTCTGCTGCAGCTCAAGCTCAGCTCAAACCCTCCCATCTTCCCACCAGGACCATCCCATCCTCATCCTCATCCTTATCCTCATCTTCATCCTCTCACACATCTGCTACTGACCAATGCAGGAGCCTTCCAAGAGGTTCCATGTCCATCAGCCAAAGGGTTGAGGTGCCCCCTGGGATAACTCAGTGGTAGGAGCCCTGTGCCAGCAGGGAGGTGCCCAAAATCCTGGCAGATCCGTTCCTTGAGGGATGTGAGATCCCAAAGGGGCAGCACATGGTCCACAACTAACCCAGAGGGAAGAAGGACCACGCCAGAAAAATGAGCTGCAACTACAAAACATCTCATCCACCAATAACTGGGGAGTAAATCCATGGACAGAGGAAGGTCCCAGGGTGTCCCCCACAGCACCCACTGCCAGGATCCCAGTGCTCCAAGAGCTGGGGGGATTTTTAATCACCTCAACAGGGATAACACCCACAGGGACCCCACAGAACTCCAGCTGAGCGCCCCCAGGGATGCCAAGGATCTTGTTCTGGAGGTGTTGGGGGACAGCTTTCCATGGCACAGGGGATGTTCTCCTCCTGGGAAAGCCAGGCTCTGCAGGGCTGGACACCTCCTGCCATGGAATTAATTCCCAGCCTGGCTTGATCCAAGCAAGGCCCAACACCTCTGGAAAGCCCCTGGGGGTGCCAAGGCCTGCTCAGCAGCCTGAGCCCCACAGGGAGCAGCCCCCCAAAAACAGGTCTGGGGGCAGCAAACCAGATCAATCCAACTGCTCATCCACAGCTTATCCCATGTCCTGTCATCCCAGGAGAGAGGGGACACAAAACACTCCCTGGACCCCCAGTGATGGGGGGATCCCAGGGATGGGATCCCTGAGAGGGGTTAAAACTCTGGGAAACTCTGCTCAACACAAAACAACTGCAGGGAAGAGCAACACCACCTCCAGCAGGGCTCCTCCAGGCTGGAGCCTTTTATCCAGCCACTAAAACCTCCCACTAAAACCTCCACGGGGGAGGCAGCAAACACAGGATATCAGCCCAGCTGCCTCCCTGCCTGATCCATGCCTAGTTCCCAGCTCATTCCATGCCTCATTCCCATGGATGTGCCGTGCCCTGAGCCACGGCCGGGGCACAGGGCTGTGCTGGCTGTCCCTGCCACGGCCCAGGGGTGGCTGAAGGGATCCCCCCAGCCCTTCCAGAGGGTCCTGCCCCCGGAGCTGTGACCAGGACACGGTGCCCGGGGGGCTGCAGGGTCACGGCTGGGGAGGGGGCAGGTCCCGGGGTGACCCCACACCCCCCTCCGGGATGGATCCGGGATGGATCCGGGAGGGCAGGGATGGGACACGGAGCTGCCGGGGGGGTGTGGGGAGAGGGACAGCCCGGGGGGGACAGGGGTTGAGGTGTGGGGGGGTTGGAGCTGGGCTTGGGGGAGCCCCGTGTGGTCGGGCTGGGGTCAAGAGAGGGGGGACACGGCCCAGGATAGGAGGGGACACAGCCCGGTCCCGGGGAGAGGGGGGCCGGGCCGGGGGTCAGAGCGGGGGACAGGGCATGGGGACAGGGGACAGGCGGCCTCGGGGGGCGGAACGGGGCCACAGCCCGGCCCGGGAGGGGCCCGAGCCCAGGGCACGGCCCGAGTCCCGGCGGGGGTGGG